TACTCAGAGAACACAGAAACAAAAAACAATACACACAGTTTGAAATTAAGTCCACAGCAAACTATTTCGCCAGAGATTTAGCTTTGTCCGTCACAGAGTCCAAATGGCCACCACCTCCCTTTTATAGCCTGTGGGGTGTGGTCCAGTGACTCAGCTTAATCTCTGGCACGCCTCCTTTTCTGCTGCGCACGCTTGTCGCGCCTACGCTGGCGTGGATCCAGCCACAACGTATCTTCATCACTATCCAAAACACCTGGCTCCTGGCCAATCTCTTCTCCGTCGGGAGACACCTGAGGCATTGCCAGAGAGGAGGGTCCTGGAGAGGGAGGCCTGGCCATCTCCTCTCCTTCATGTTCGGAGCCTTCTTCCTCCGATAAGAGGGGCTCACAAGACGGAGCCACAACATATCCCAGCACAAAGGGACTTCTTGGTGTGCCATGGCTCTGGGGCTGCGAGAAGCCTGGGTGCAGCGTGAAGTCCAGCCCTAGCCTGACCCACTTCTGGCCATCCTGGGAAGCCACAGCTGCAGTTGTCCTTGCTCCCACCTGGCATTCCATGGCTCCTGCTACCCTGCACTCTGCTGCCCCACCTGACCTTTCTCCAGCTGCTGATGAGGCGTTCCCAGCCTGGTTCCCAGCAGCTGCTGGCCACGTGAGGCCATTTTCCACACATTTGACAAGGAGACCATTGTGCACAACCTGGGGAAGAAAGTCTCATGTGGTCAGCAGCTGCCTTGCAAAGGGTCAGGCTGGGCAGGCTTGGCCAGCAAGGGAAGGCAGGTGGTGAAGGCCAGCTAGGGCTACAGAGGCTGCATAATGCAGAGAGCCAAAAGGACATAGATGGGGTGGGGGGTTGGGAGATAGGCGGCTGAAGAGAACTTAAACAATCCTGCAGGCGTAAGTGTGCGCAGGCTGCCAAATGCCTGAATTTGGATGACATGATAACAGGGACATTGCTGTTTGGGGACCAGTCGTAAGTCCCTTCATTCAGCACTTTCATAATTTTGAATGGTCGCTGAACGAATGGTCAAAAGTCAAGGACTAACTGTATTCAAGCAGGTATGCAATACAGGTAAATATAAAAGTGCATTATCGTATTATTTAATTAGTCAAACTTAATTATTTAAGTTCTAACTGAATATTACTAATTTAAAGTAAAAAGGTACAGGTAAAGATTGCCCTGTCCAGTCGTATCCGACTCTAGGATGCAATGCCAAGGGAGCCAGCATTGTCCGAAGACATTTTCCATGGTGTGTGTCCAGCATGTCTATGTGCTAAAGGCGCACATAACACTGTTACCTTCTCGCCTCAGTGATACCTATTAATCTACTCGCATTTGCATGTTTTCAAACTACTAGGTGGGCAGAAGCTGGGGAGGTGGGCAGGAAAGGAAAGGGAGCTCATCCCACTGTGCAGCGCTCGGGTATCGAATCTGGGCTGTCAGTTTTGCAACTGACAAGCTCAGAGTCTATAAACTGCTGATATACAAAACATCTTGTATTCAAACTGGTTCGATTATTTTTGGAGAGTTTTAAACTTCAAACACCACCACTTAGTATATTTTTTCAAGCTCAAAACACTCCCAAAATAATTGAAATAACCATTTTGCACCTGAAATCATGCATTTCAAATTGGAGACAATTTAGACTCAAAAGATACTGAACATCCATATATGCAAGATGCACTTTCAATGTTATGTGAAAAAACAGAAATGGATGAACAATTAAATCCTCTTTCTGTTTTATCGCCCGACTATCTAGAGATGTGAAATTGGGCATAGTTTAGTATCTTTTTAAATATTCAATACATGAAGCTACCCCTGACACGTTTGATGAAGTACTAAAACAGTGGTTCTCAACCTTTTTAATGCCGCGACCCCCAACCAGTCGTAAGTCGAGGACTAAACCAGCTGTAAGTTGAGGACTAAACTGGTCGTAAGTCGAGGACTAAACCGGTCGTAAGTCGAGGACTACCCAACCGGTCGTAAGTCGAGAACTTTCCCTGCCCGGGAGCGCCGCACATGCGTGGTTCCGCCCCCTGCGCCGGCCGAGGCGTAGCTGGCAAGCGGCAGAGACGGAGCAGGCCGACCACCAGCTGGCCCAGCTCAAGGGAGGTAAGGCACCCGCCGGAAAAGGGGAAAAAAATGGCGGACAGCTTTGCTTGGTGACCCCCGTGAAATGGTCGATCGACCCCAAATGGGGTCGCGACCCATAGGTTGAGAACCGCTGTACTAAAACATTCTAGAGTGAAATTGTATCCAACCCTAGTAGTTTTACAGACTGAAAACATGTAACATGCTTAGACCATGTGTGAAATGATCATTAGTACTCTTATGAACAAGAACAGTTAAAACACAGAACAAGAGCAAGATCTCATTAAAAACCAATACTGACATAAGATCAATGTATTATCAGCTAAGATACTCAAGGTAGTAAAATTTTTTATTTAAGCTGCTATCTCTCTATAAATACTACCTTCTTCTACATTCCGCTTCTAGAATAAACCTTTTTAAGTCACTTTATCAAAATACAATGCATGCTAATCTAGTAAACAAGCATATCAAGCCAATAATTAAAAGTAAGTAAAAAAAAAACATTTCACATTGATAAAAAACAATAAAAACCTACTTGAAGATACTATAAAAATGCCCTTAAGAATGACACCAGCAATATAAATCAACAGTCTACAGTCATTTATGAAATAAATGAATAAAACTCAATTGCTAGCAAGGCTTTAAAACAGGGGTCTTCAAACTTGGCTCTTTTATGACTTGTGGACTTCAACTCCCAGAATTCCTCAGCCAGCGTGCCTGGCTGAGGAATTCTGGGAGTTGAAGTCCACAAGTCATAAAAGGGCCAAGTTTGAAGACCCCTGCTTTAAGATCTGATAATAAAGTGAAGAGATAGCCTCCCTTTTTCTAAACAACAACAAAAAACCCCTATGATAAAAATGAACACTAGAGGAAAAAGCAAGGCACATCATCATAGCTATCTTTTGTGCCACTAATGAAAAGAAAATGTTTTGGAAGGAAGACAAAATTAAAATGAGATTTTTCATTTTTACCAGTCTATGTAGACTATGTAAGGATTTGTGTCTCAGGTCTAGTCAAAAGCTGGAAATCTTTGTCTAGTATCAGGGTTTCATCAAGATGACTTCAAAATTTATAAATAACAGAGGTCTAGTGCAGAAACATAAATCAAAGCCAACACTATTAATAAAAATACAAGCAGTAGATATTATTGTTACTCTGCTACATAGAAAACTTCATTGCAGAATTGTGATTCTAAAGAACTTGTTTTTGACAAATATGGCAGCTTGAGGAATAAAAAAACATGGAATGATATCTATACGTGAAATTATTTTTAAAATCAAAAATGCCTTTGTAAATTCCTGGACTAACAAGTCCCTATTACTTCTGCCAACATAATTTTAAAAAATGTATTTGTATTATTTCCCTTTCCCTTTTATGAACCAACACAAAGCCAACAGGAGTGTTTTTACAAGCAATATAAATAAGAAGAAATAAAGCTGCTTACTGCCTTACATGAAATCCCAATATATTATACAATTTTTTTTTAAGTAGAAATTGAGCACACTGTACTGCAAAATCCCACCTACTCCACTAATTTCAGATCAATTTCCTTTCATGCAGCTGTTTTTTGTGATATAGTGTATATTGTGCAGGAAAGCAGCCAATTCCTCAACCTTCTGCAGAAGACAATGAACAGAAGGAAAAAGAGGTAAAGGAAAAAAATGGTTGCTTGAGCAGCCTTCCATTTTAAAAATTCAGACTCAATTAAGTATGTCTATTTAAAAAAACTAGTTTGGTATAATGTTTAAGGCACCAGGCTAGAAACTGGGAGACTGTTGAATTCTAGTCCCACTTTGGGAATGAAGCTACTAAGTCAGTGCCCTTGGGTCAGTCACTCTCACTCAGCACTAGAAAGGAGCAATGGCAAGCCACTTCTGAATATTGCCAAGAAAACTGCAGAGACTTGCGCAGATAGTCACCAAGAGTCAAAAACAGACTTGAAGGCACAATCACATTTGGAATAGTAGTTTAATGGATAAAATCTCAGCTATTCCTTGAACTGGCCAATGCTTAAAAATGTTGTAGATGGCAAACATCTACAAAATTAACAGAGTGTGCAGAATTTTATGTATTTAAAATACTTATTTATTAAACTGTAAAAACTGTCATCTCTGAGAGGATTAAATAACCGTGTATGATTTTTTTGGGATCAGGCGAATATCAAAATTTCAATTAAAAAAAAATTACACATAGAAGTATAACTCTGTTATTTTACAAACAATGTTTGTATTTTGAATTATGTGAAATCTATAAAACCCCTCATAGTTAATATAAAGATTTTGTCTGGCAATACAAATAATAATTGCCCCGCTTCGCCTATTTTCCTCAAAAATCTTATTTTCTCTACGTCATTTTTCTTACAGACACACACACACACAGACACACACACATGCAGGCTTATATCTATTTGTATTTTCTTTCAAACTAGTTTAATGTTCTGTACAAAAAGTGTTATTTTAGGTAATAAATCATTGTTTCTCTTAGCTTGTTAATTTAATTCATTACATATAAAACTGTATTGGCATAAATTATAAAAAAGGTTCTGGCAGATTAAATTAATTACAATGTATAATGTAGTTCATATCCATTATATGGCACTTGTTCAACATATTTGATCCAAACTGGAAGGTTTCACATACAGATACATACATATTACTTTAAATACAAAAAACAAAAAATTAAAAGACCAAGCCAGTACTAAAAAATACATTTATTTATACAGGAAACAGGTATGGGACTGAGTCTTTAAATAATCTGCGTCTAACCTGTTTCTGAATCTTCACTGTCGGAGGAGCTGGACTCACTGGTGCTCTCAGACTCTGAAGAGGAGAATCCCTTCATTTTAGAGGAACCAGCAATTACATCCACTTTCTCTGCTGCAACAAGGTAATAGCATTGTCATTGGATCAGACAATAATCAGAATCTATTCTTGTGCCATGAAATATTCCTATTAAAAATCAGATGTTTGGGTGTCTGCTCATACAGTGGGACTTCCATCTTGTTTATTTTCTCCTATCCCAAAAGCTCTTCTTTTTACTCCCCAATCTAGAGGGCCCCCAATCTTTCACATATAGGTTACTATGGGATAGGTTACAGAAGAATTCATTCCACTGGCAGATGTAGTCTGTCAGAACACAGAAATAGTCCAAAGAACTATTTTTCACATAAAAGATTTCCACAAATTGATTATGTTTTAATTAGGTTAATGAAACACTGATTTCAGAAGAATAGCAAATATGTTCTTGAAAGCACAAGAACAATTCAGTTTGCTATCTTCTGCTTTAGGAAATAAGGGAATAGAATAGGAGTTTGAAAATTTGAAATTCTCAAGTAATTTAGCATTTTCATGCTCTACTATTTTGCAATCTGGCTCTCCCCATTCTGGTCATTAACTGATCACACATGTCCTTAAACGGAGAACTGGGAAGAGGACACTTTCTCTGCCCCACTATGCCTGGGAAGTCCAGGTCCTCTCCCCATTCCACCATGTCCAGGAAGCTCAGGACTCTCCCCACCTCACCATACCCAGATCCACTTACCTTCCACCTTTTCTCCTGCAGGCTCCATTCTCACCATTGTCGGAAGACTTCTTCTCCAAACTACGCTGTTTGGAGAAGGGGCTTCCAAACTATTACGAGAAAAGATTAGAAAAATATTTCTAGTCTTTAGAACAATGGCATTCGCTAATTTTCCAGCACTCTTCCATGTGCGGAAGAGAACCCTTTTGCCAAGCTGCAGAAATGGATGCTTGGCTCTTCAGGGTCTGAGTCCCATTTCTGCAGCCCAGCAGAGGGGCTGAGCAATCCACTGTGCATGGAAAGGAGCACCTCTGCCAGGCTGCAGAAATGGGATCAGATCTTCAGGTTCTGAGCAATGTTTCCACAACCTGGCAGAGAGAGCAAACTCCATCTGGCAGGCAGCACTTTCAGTCAGCCCCCAGAGACTAACCATCTCAGCAGGCGGCGGGAACTTGCAATCTTCCCTGCTGGTTTCCCATTGACTTTCTGGAGAAGACAGTAGAGAAGATTTGCAAATGATAATCGCCTGATTGCGGGACACTTGGCAACCCAACATAAGGGTGAACAGGTTGCCAAGCATCCAGAGGGCAGTCAAGTGATCATGCAAAGGGGGAGAGTGCACATTTTACAATAGCCAGAAGTGCTTTACGGATCATAAAGCAGCCTTTCCAAAGCTGTTGTAACTTTCAACTGTTGCTAAACAACAGTGGTATATGTCAAGAACTACCTGTATGTTGTTCTGGAAAAAATTAATTTATTACTTGCTGGAAAAGGTACAATTTCAAAATGAATGACTCTTGCATAAATTTATCATGTTCTAATATTAGTATATTTTCCATCTCTGCACCATAGAAAATGATTTAGTATATACTGCTATTTGAAAAAAACTATTCTGAACTTGAAAAATACCTTGAGGTTTCCTTTTTTTCCGTAAACAAGATGTTACATATCGCTCCAGCTCCCTCAAAGTGGATGCCTTTAATGTTTCAAAGTCAATTTCAATCTCATCAGGATTGGAGTTTTTGAGCGAGGGTTCTCTTGATTGGATGATATGGACAACCCGGCCTAATTTTTCACCAGGGAGCTTGTTAATGTCCAGGCTCAATTGTCTTTTTTCTTCATAAGACATTGGCTTACATTTCTCCTCCTCCTCTGACTCATAAACTGGAGGTGGCTTGGCATTCTTCACAGTCACAGGCTCCTTCTTATTACTTTAAAGAACAATTATAAAGCATTATTATATGAAACAAGATGATTCCCTATTTTCATACAAAGAAGTTATTCTAGAATATATTTATTAGAATTGTGTTCCACATTCAAAGAGCCATGGTAATGTCTATTTCAATGAGCTATATCTTAGAAATCCAAAGTTTAACTTTCAAAAATTATTAGGTAGCTTTTGACAAGCAATTATAAGAGCAATGCAAATCATATAGGAGGCAATCCATATTTAAATATCTTCTGAGCATTGACACAGATATACTTAAGAGGATCAGAAAAGTAGCTGAACTGAAGTTGTAAGGATTATGCCCACTTGTATCTTTCAAGCCACAGATTCAAAAGAGCCTTTTATGAAATTCCTGTAGATGACTAGGCTAAGCCCAAGGGCAGGGTCAAACAACTAACTAACAAGGCAAATTGCCCCTAAATAAGAGTCAACGGAATTCAAGGGGGAAGCGGGGATGGGGGGGTGGACTTAGGATCTCTTGTGGGAGTGTAGTGACTCCAAACTGATGGAATTTCCTGACAATGATAACAATTAATCAGTGGAATGACTTGTCTCCAGAAGTTGTAGGTGCTCCAACACTGGAGGTTTTTAAGAAGAGATTGGAGAAACATTTGTGTGAGATGGTATAAGGTCCCCTGCTTGAGCAGGGAGTTGGACTAGAAGACCTCAAAGATCCTTTCCAACTCTGTTATTGTGTTATTCATTTGATCCTGTCCTCAGGCTCAGCCTAGCCATCTCCTACAATTTCCTTCTAAAAACCTCTTACAACCCTACCTATTATCAGACATACAATTTAAAAATACTGGTCTCATCCATACAGCTTTGGTGAGATGCTAAAGCACCACCTTTAAATGTTAAATCTTTAATATGAGCTCCATTTTCTAGAAGCACAAAAAGTGAAGAGAGCTACCTGAATTAGAACAGAATACCTTTCTTATACAATACCCTGCATTTTGTATACTTAAGGCTAAAATAATAGAAATACTTCAGCCTGAAATACATGATCCAATTGTTTCATCACTAGAAATGTACTCCCAGTAGGATCAAAATTATTCACAGGGAATGTACTATCATATTTATCCAATAATATGCTCACAGAAGAATAATTTACACTTAGAGTATTTAGCTTAGGATTTATTTGTAAAGCCAATGTAAAACCTGCTTTTGTGTTGTGATGTTCTAACCAATGAATTAGGAGATGGATGGCTCAATAGAAAGGAACAACAACAACAATTTTCCTGCATGTATTTCCATTTCTTAAAGTGGCAGATGAAGAATTACATCTAATATGCTTTGTCCCTTGAACCTCTTTACAATGAATGAAATGCTCATGAATAAACCCATCCAGACTACAACTTTTAGATACTGGTGTTGCTGAGGTTAAACTAAAACTGAGACTGTAATTCCCAAAGGTATGCAATGGACAATCTTTATTCTGCTAATAATGTTTTGAAGAATGGACTGTCCATTGTAAGACAACAACATTGTAGAAAAACCTCCTATGACTGTAATTTTGCTTCTTGATTGGAGGGTCCCAGGATTTTTTTTTTTAATTAACAGGTTCTGTGGCCTACAGAAAATTTGAAAAAAAAAACTGTTCTAAAGGACTCTTGAAACTGGACTCTCAGAGAGTAGACAGAACTAGGTATAGCCAGAATCGATTTATGTAATGAATGACCCATGCAAAGATGAAGCTGCTGTAATGGTTTCTTTTAAAAGTTGTCCTATATGTGCAAAGCACTTCCTTGGGATGCTTTTCACTATTGTAATACATTGTATTGACTAGGGATAGAAGTCTAAACTATCTCTCAAAAAGCAGAATCATAACTTCTATCTGAAGCGAGGCTATGGGCAGTACTCAGACAGCTTTAAAGGAAGTCCCATTATTCACAAAGAAAGAATGGTCATTTTACTATGACCAACTATACTCTTAAGCCTTAAGAAATTAAAATAATTTACCAGTTTTGCAAATTTCAATAGTATAAGCAAGGAATATTCAATTCTACAGAGAATTCTTGGAGTTCTACTGTAGAATTAGACCTTTAATATTAGAGAACACATTTGCTAAAACCAAAATTGTACTTAGAACTCAGCTAGATGAAAACCAAGGAAGCATACAGTATATAATTTTGGAAACTTAAGGTTAAATGCACGGCAGCATCCTGATTTAAATTACACTGTTTCTAACCATATAATAATTACACTTATTATATGGTTAGAAACAGTGGTGTGGCAAAATGTTCAAACTTGTAATGTTCTGTATTCAAAACTCTAGATTTTAATAGCAGTTACCAAACATACCAATATTCCAGGAGTGATCCAAACCTGAAACATTTGCTAAGGTCAGAATAACTGGTTTGTAAGTGTTTTAAATCGGAAAACGTTTGCACATTTTGTTTAAAATTATGTGTCTTCTACCAAGAATTTAGATAGGCAAAATATAGAAGTTCTGCTATACTTCTGGAAACATCCTCATGCCATAGATAAAGCTTTTAAAAAACTATCCTATAGATTGGCATATAAAGAGAAAACTAACCTTGAGCTATTGCTATTGCCATTATTCTTCTTAGCCTTCTTAGTTGGTGGATCCTTGGCTTTATTTTTTTTATTTTCTTCTACTTCTTCTTTCTTTTTGTGCTTCTCTTTTTTCTTTTCTTTCTTGTCTTTCTCTTTTTTCTTTGGTTTATTCTGTTGTGGCTGTGACAGGGCAGCCAACTGTTCATGCACTGCTTTAAGCTAAGGAGCAGACACACAGATCAATACAATTTTTTAAAAAAATTGTTTGTTTTACCCCATCCTATGATGTGATGACCCCACACTCACTTTGGTGTGCAACTAATTGTCCCCCCCCCCCAAAAACACCTGAGCTATATGTTCCTTAGTGCTGTGCATGCTTCAAAAAAGATTTGCAATTGCTTTGGACCCATACCAAGCAGCCAAAGTGTTTCCAGGCCTCTATGCAAGTCTGAAAAAATTTCCATAACTTCAAGTGTTACACAAATGTCCATACTTTAAAGCAGTGCCATTTATTTCTAGTCAAACACCTGAAAAAATTTTGGGCTGCTTTAAATGCAAACAGGTGCTGTGCTCATATAAGATCAAAAGCCCCCTTTCCCAAATCATTTTCAAAGAATGCACACCTCTTATCTGTGTGTGAGAAAGAAGAAAAAGTGTAGAATGGCACACATGAGTAGGAATATATTGAAGCAGCTGTCAATAATGCTGCTTAATATCAAATGGCAGTAATTTGCTGGCCGTTCCTGAAACTAGAAGCAACAGAGTCAAGCTTCTAGGATAGATTGGAATGCAGAAATTGTTTTGTTGCCAAGAAAACAAAGTATACATATCCATATTATCACCAGTGACTTCAGCTTGTCTTAAGGCAGTGGTTCTCAACCTTTTTAATGCCGCGACCCCAACCGGTCGTAGGTCAAGGACTAAACCGGTCGTAAGTCGAGGACTAAACCAGTCGTAAGTTGAGGACTACCCAACCGGTTGTAAGTCGAGGACTTTCCCTGCCCAGGAGCGCCGTGCATGCGTGGTTCCGCCCCCTGCGCCGGCCGAGGCGTAGCTGGCAAGCGGCAGAGACGGAGCAGGCCGACCACCAGCTGGCCCAGCCCAAGGGAGGTAAGGCACCCGCTGAAAAAAAATGGCGGACAAAAAAAATGGCGGACAGCCTTGCTTGGCGACCCCCGTGAAATGGTCGATCGACCTCAAATGGGGTCCCGACCCACAGGTTGAGAACCACTGTCTTAAGGGCATCTTTATCTTTTCCAGTAGTACTGATTGAGTTATGATACTGAAAGTTTTCCTTAACATTTTAAATGTTGAAGGGAGAGCCTAGTGGCTACTATATCGCAGGCAATAAAGAAGCATTTGCTACTCTAATACTATCTATTGAGCTTCTGTCTTGGAATCTCTTTCCTTATCCAATCAAGATTTGATAAATGCAAAAAGGCTCAGACATAGCCCCAACCAATTCCTCTTGTGATTGTGAGATTCACAGGCAAGCTGGAATTGTTTCATCTGTTGCACAACAATCCCTATCACATTCTTAATCTCAGCAAGGGGAAAATGGCCAGGAATAAAGTTGCAAAGCCAAAGTGCTTGATGCACTCTTTCCTGCCAGCATGAGGATTCCTGCAGTATATTCTGCAACAGGAAGCTTTGTGAAGGAAAACTAAGGAAAGAAGCTCGTAACTAGATGTATGAAACTGTAAGCTAGAATGGCTCGTTTTCTTGTTTGTTTGGTATTCATACATGTAGTAAAACATTAAAAACTGGAAGGTGTGGACTAGAACTGTACATATGTAGTCGGTATGGGAAAAAACAGAACCTGATCCCAGATCCAAAAACTAAAATTAAGGAAGTAACTGGAGAAAAGAGGATACAGTCAGAGTCAAAAGCAGGATACACAAACGTTTTACCTGTTCCTGGAGCTCTGCTAGCCGCTGAGCTCGCTCTTCTTCAGAATCATCTGATGAACTATCACTATCAGAAGAACTATCACTGCTGCTGTCACTGGACGATGGTGGGGGCACTTTGGGTTGTGGCTGTACTACTACTGGAGAGGAAGCTGGAATCACAGGTTCTTCAGGTTCATCTGGCATTTTAGCAAACCTCATTTCAAAGACATCCTGGCAAAATACAGTGGGGGCATATGAATGCTATGCTTGTAAAAATATATCCCAGCATTATTCTGAAGAAGTTTTCCTGGTACCCGCACCAAAAGGAACAAAATATTGGTATCTCCAAACTCTGAATCAATTCAGAAAAAAATGTTCCTTGAAGGGATATTATTATCCTGAACACCACCTTTCCTGCAGTTTATCAATCTAGGCACTTTCTGATCAAAATTGGCTTAATCTTGAGGTCCCATTATATCAGTGGTTCTCAACCTTTTTAATGCCGCGACCCCAACCGGTCGTAAGTCGAGGACTAAACCGGTTGTAAGTCGAGGACTAAACCGGTCGTAAGTCGAGGACTACCCAACCGGTCGTAAGTCGAGGACTTTCCCTGCCCGGGAGCACCGCGCATGCGTGGTTCCGCCCCCTGTGCCGGCCGAGGCGTAGCTGGCAAGCGGCAGAGACGGAGCAGGCCGACCACCAGCTGGCCCAGCCCAAGGGAGGTAAGGCACCCGCCGGAAAAGGGGGAAAAAATGGCGGGCAAAAAAAATGGCGGACAGCCTTGCTTGGCAACCCCCGTGAAATGGTCGATTGACCCCAAATGGGGTCCCGACCCACAGGTTGAGAACCACTGCATTATATAAAGGGATAGGTGAAGGGTGTTATCCTATTCATTTGGCCACTTGGGAATGCAAGAGGTATGATAGCAATATAATAACATCACTGAGGGTGGGATTTCAAGGATTCCAGTAGTGTTATTTGGATAAAATAAATGTATTAATGCTGGCAGAAGTTTAATAGATTTTTTCATGATTATTCCAATTAAAAAATCATGCAAAAGAATGTGAGTGCTTTGCTTCTGCCTTTCATTGGTGTTTGAGGAGAGGAATCAGTAAACAACAAAGTAAGATACAAAACCTTTACCCCTGACATTTGGAATGCATATTTTAAAGATTGAGTAGAAAANACACAGAGGCTGTTCCCCTGACCACCTGACCCAAAATTTAAGTTTCTCTCTGGGCAATGGTCACGGTCCTTGAGTTAGGCACCGAAGGCACGGTTGGAACCACCCCCTGGGCTCCTCCCCGGAGGCCTTAGGTGGTCAGGCAATGCGCACCAGTAAAGAAAAAATCCCCAATGAGGGAGCAGAGGACTTGAAAAAAAAATAAAAAAAAAAAAATTAGGTTCTGGTAAGGAGTCAAATTTAATTGGAGGCTACCCAACTTGTATATATATTGTAAGTTAATGTAAATATTAATAGATGCACGCTAGATGTAACATGAATGAGGTCAGCTAATGTGGATCCGTCCTTGTGGGCCTAAAGAAAGCTGCCACGTGGCGTTCAAAATGGCGGCCGCCAATTATTGATCAAATTAATAGTGACCTGGGGAGAACAGAAATTGACCAATTCAGTTTCTGGATCCTGAATTCCTGCACCAAAGCCAGAGAGCTGAAAATTTAAGGTAGGCCTTTGCAGCTCCTGGCCCCTAACTTCGGCCTTGAAATGGAGGCCGCAATTCGCTTTGAAATGGAGGCCGCAATTCGCTTAATAAAAACAGCTCCGCGGACTCAAGAGATGTTTCTGGATGGCCGGATCGATCGCCAGAGCCACGTTGGGAGTTAATACTAAATTTCCCCCTGCGATCCTGTTATCGATCGCCAGAGAAAAAATGACCGAAAAATGCTTCGTTGCCTTTTTCGGCAACCAAAATGGCGGCCGCGATCGCTTTAGACGGCCGAGAAGGAGTCCGGAGGGCTGAAAATGCTCCGAACGCAGCACCACAGGCTGCAGGAGCAATTGGTATGCCCTGGAAGGGAAGAACAGCCGTTTGTTCTGAAAGAGCTGTTAGGGAGCTTTTCCCCCCCCCCCAGATCCCTGGGGAAAGAAATAAAAGGATCGTGGAAGGTTTCCCCCCCACTCCCTTACCTCCCTTAAGGGTGGAATTTAAGCTAGCACTAATCCCAGTGCTAAGAAATTTTAAAGGGGGAATCAAATTGGTAGCTAGGAGTTTTAAGAGGGAATTCACCAAAAGCTTTCTAACCTGCTATAGACTGAGAGCCAAACCTGACACGTCGTCAAGAGCTGAGACCAAGTTAAAGACTGGCCAGCAAGAGGGGGCGTGTCAAGTTTGACTACTTGGTCTCAAGAGCAGGCATCCAATGAAAACCCATATGTGTGAATTCTCCATCTCCCGTACTGGAGAATGACAGCCACAGTCATGGAGCTTGGTGCCCTCTGAGCTTGGCTGTTTGCTTGCCGACATTTTGTTTCCTGACTAGGTAACATCTTCAATGGTAGGGAGTGTGGTATTTGAGGGGTCCTTGGTGCTCTCTGAGCTTGCTTGTTTTCTTGCAGACGTTTCATTACCCTAACTAGGTAACATCATCAGTGCTAGTAAGGGGTACAGTGCAAACTGATGGTGTTACCTAGTTTGGGTCATGAAACGTCTGCAAGAAAAACAAGCAAACGCAGAGAGCACCAAGGACCCCACAGTCATTCTCCTCCTCCTCCTCCTCCTCCCCCCCCCACTCCTTTCTAGCACTGATGATGTAACCTAGTTTGGTAATGAAACGTTTGCAAGAAAAACAAGCAAGCTCAGAGAGCACCAGGGACCCCTCATTTCAACCCTGAGCTACAAATATTCTCCTTTATTTGTGTGGTGTTTTCTCCCTAATTACGTACAGAGTTTGCTCTGCCAATGTTGATGGGAGTGTGGTTTGCTCCTTTAATCTCACAAAAACGTGGACAGACTCAACCACAGTTTCAGCAGATTTATTTGTTATATATATGTAGGGGTGGGGATCTATACATATGTTGTATATAGTATGTTTAGGTGTGTGTCACGTATGTGTTTCACTTTGAGAGTGGGCAACTAAATTTCATTTTTTAATGTGTGCCATTGTGCCCACAGTAAAAAAAAATGACAATAAAGGTTATCTTATCTTATCTTAAATCCTAAAATGCTTGGGAATTCCTGAAAGCTTGGCATTCAGACAAAATCGGCCATCAAAAGACACACAGAGACAAACCACATTTAGATGCCAATCCAAAGGCCGCAAAAAAGCTAAGAAGGAAACTAAAAGAGCAAAACGCTTTCCCTCCAGCAGCCCACACTCAGATAAGCAGGGTTATCACCAGACTGACAATCTAGCTGCAAACAATATCCTAATCAAGGAACGACCAACGAGGAAATGATATCTCCACCAGCACTGACAGGGAAGCTACTGTACATAAACAGAGAGCAAACTCTACATTCATCAGCACTTAGCTGGATATTGAAACATCTGCAAACAAATAACCAAGCTTAGAGACCACCAAGGACCCCGCAGTCCTCCTCCTCCTTCGCCTTCTCCTCTTCCTTCTCCTCCTCCTCCTCCTCCTCCTCCCCCCCATTCCCTTCTAGCACTGATGTNAATGAATTGTAATTCCCAAAGATATAAAATATTTTTAAGTTATTCTGAAAATTACTCTATTTATTAAAAATTGTGCATTTATGCATTTAAAGTAGAATATGGTTTTAAATGAATTTTTAGTTACCTGTAGTTTCCGTGCCATGGCCACTACCTCATGGTCTGGAGGGTTATATTTGTAACAATTGGAAAACATCAATCGGACATCAGCTGAAAATTCCTGAGCATCTCTATAATCCCGGTTTTCCACTTTGGACTAAAGATTAAACAAATAAAGAACTATAATTATAAATAAATTTTAAATCATTTTAAAATACTTACCATGGGTATTATTTCCTGAAAATAGAGCAAAATATTTTGGCATTTCAGAGATAAGATTATCAATTCTCTATAGCAAATAATCTGCATGTTTTCTGAATGTATAAAAAAATAAAATTATTTTCAACCCAAATGATATTTAACAAATGACTGGGTATCCCGTTTGTTGATAATCCCATTGATTTCCTGTTTTAGTTCATATATTGCACAAGATTACAAAGAAACAGAAGTATCTACCCTGGTAGAATAGTAAAAATGTGGAAATTAGCTCTGCTTTTAAAATGGCTTTATTTTGTAAGAACAGAATGTGAACAATAAACTAATATAAAATGGGCACTTTTTTACCCAGACATTTTGTTTCTCTTATTTTTTATTCAAGTTTTACAATAAACCATGGAATTATAATAAATACTTCCAACACTGGAAGTTTTTAAGAAGAGACTGGACAGCCATCTGTCCGAAATGGTATAGAATTTCCTGCCTGAGCAGGGGGTTGGACTAGATGACCTCCAAGGTCCCTTCCAACTATTATTATTATTATTATTATTATTATTATTATTATTATTATTATTATTATTATTAATGGAAAAACTTGCAATTGTCAATATTAGGAAGAATTGCTACAGTGAAAATGAATTTATTACCAAAAATCTTATTTTTATTTCAAACAATACCTATAAAATTGGAGAATTTTTTTTTTTAAAGATTTGAATTCACTAATTTTGAAATTTATTTGGCAAGGAAAGAAAGCTAGAATTAAGATGAAAATGTTACAAGATGCTAAAGGAAACGGGGGAATTGGCCTACCAGAGTGGGTTCTATATTATCAAGCATCATACGGATACATCCGTATTAACATGGATAAAAAAATGGATAATTCTTAAAAATAAAAGGTTTTTATATCTGGAGGGACATGATTTACAATTGGGGTGGGAAAAATAAAGTTCATAAATATTTCCAAAAACACTATATAAGAAATACATTGTTAATAACATGGGAAAAAATAAAAAGCAAAATATATTTGAAAATTCCTGGGAGGTTGTCAACAATGGAAGCATTTGTACACCCAAATTTACTGGACTTTGAAAAATCTGGACATATAGAAATATTCTAAACTCTGAAGAACATTTAAAATCTAAACAAGAGCATCAGAGCATCAACTTATCATGGTGGACACATTTACAAATGCAAACTAGATATGATAAAGATGTTAAAATGTACGGATTTTATAAAGAACAAACTGCATTTGATAAGACTTTGTTAACTTTGGATGAAAAATTAATTAAGAAAATGTTTAATTTTTTATTAACTTTGAAAATGGAAGATGAGCAAGTTAAAGAAACAATGATAAGATGGGCGAAAAATTTTGGATATAATATAGAATTAGAAAGATGGCAAAACTTATGGGAAAGAAACTATAAATCGACAATGTCAACTTCCTATAAAGAAAATTTATATAAAATGTTTTATAGATGGCATTTGCCACCAACAAATTAGCGAAAATGTTTAAAAATATGTCAGATAGATGTCGGAAATGTAAACATAAGTCAGGCACATATTATCATGTTTGGTAGACATGTGATAAAGCAAAGAACTATTGGAAAAAGATACATACTTGATTAGAAAAGATGTTAGGAGAACATGTTGATTCTAAACCTGAACTTTTTTTATTAGGTATATAATGCCAGAAAATACTAATAAACAAAGCTTATATTTGACTTTGCACCTTATAACAGCGGCAAGAATCATATTTGCGCAATATTGGAAGAATGAAGGAGTACCATCAGATGAAGAAATAATTAAAAAAATACTAGAATGCGCAGAGATGGACAGATTGACTATGAGACTGAAAGAAAAGGAAGACTATTATCAAACCTGGAATTTATTTTACCATTGGCTAGAGGGAAAAAAAAGGGATTAGGAATTAAACATGTATTAGCATATGTAAACTGAGACAGCACGTTGGTTGAAAAATTGTTTGTATGAAAAAAATGAATAAAAAGTTTACCAAAAAAATCCATTTGAAAAATTTGCTTGTTGACTTAACAAAAAATAGTTTGAGTATTTCTATAAATTACCGTAATTGGCTAAGAAACCAAAATATTGCAATCTAAACATTTAAAAAGTAAATTAGTTCCTACATGTTTTTGAAACTGTACACAAACATAGATAGTATTTTTAACATGTATTTATTACCACATGAGTGTTGAAAAAAAGACACCCACACTTACTTTAATTGTACTCAGGTCCATGGGATGCTTAATGATCTCACGATAATCATGGAGTCCAAGAGCTTCCACATCTACAGGTTTGTAGAAGGGCCATGCATATGCAGCATGTTTCTTAGCAAACATCTCCTTTATGATGCCACCACAATACTTTAATTGCTCTGACGTTTTGCTACTGTTACTTTTTTCTACTACATGCTGCTGAGAATCTGGAACATCCTTCTTTGGAGGTTTCACAGGTCGGCTTTCCCTTCGTGGACCTGTCTTGACAGACTTGGGTTCAGCTGGCAATGATGATGATTCATGAACTGGGTCTATTGTAGTAGGAGTTGTAGTGTCTGCTTTCCTCTTCACTCCCTTTTTTGTCTACCAAAGCAAACAGACATTCTATGTAGACTTCTGTTCTTTATTTGCCATAATGTACACGTGTATATGAGGTTATGATTCCTTGGCATAGGAATATGTTATTATCTATATTTTTAATTGTTGATTATTTTTGTTATCTTAACCTTGTTTATGCATGGTGGGAATGTAAGCCGCTTGGAATCAGTTGACAATTGTAGCGGCATATAAGCCTATTAAAATAAATAAAATAAATGAATGTACCATAGAATTCTCATAACTAAGCAAACACCCCATTTTTATGAAAATAACCAGATATCACGTATAACTATCTAAAACACTATACAAGGAATACAAAACAATCATCAGAAAATCTGGCATAGAACATGTAGTGAAGTTGAATGTTATGAAAATTCTGTCATGACTTCACTCAATAGCTTAAGAAAGTCAGAATATTTTCAATTTCTTGATCCTATTACTATTATACTATTTTTATTATTTGAGGGATGCATCTCAATGAATAGAAGGATTCCTTCCCCTGGCAAAGGAAGAAAAGACGAATAGGAAATCTTGCTGAGGGAAGAAGCTGGAATAGTTATTTCTATCAATTCCTTTTATTGCTTTTCTCAGACATTATTTCATGATCTTTCTATTATTCAAAGCAGATTTTTAGTCTTGCACAACAGAGGAGAAATGCTGCTGTCATCCCTTCTTTCTAAGAAATCATTCAATGTTAGGTAGTCTGCAATTTTAGCCCCTTACATCCTGGACTGATCTTGAAAGGAATACTATTTATTTTCCAGCAAACATAGTCTTAATTCCAATAGAAGATACGTTTAGCTATTTATCGAGTCTTTATTTTAAGCAGTATTATTGATTATTGAACCAAGGTGAAGCAGAGCCATCTTTTAAGTGCTTCCTCTTCACAGAAGCTTACTAGGTTTAGGGTTGGTCACTGTACCCCCATCTAGTTTATTTCATAGGCCGTTATAAAGAAAAATGAAAGGAGAGGCTGTACAGTATATATACTACTATGATTTCCTGGAGGAAGTGGATGAGGAAAAAAAAATCCCAAAACATTCAATCAACCAATAAAAAAAGATTGACATTTACGATGCTTTAAAAAAACCTCATTTATATTTGCTTTTAAAGAAATGTCAGTACAATCTTATGCACGTTTATTAGAAATAAATCTGAATTGTTTAATGGGACTTACAAAGTATATTTCAGACAGCAATCTTTAGTAATTAAATGACAATATTGCTGTCATTACAGTAGAAAGACTTGAGTTTTACTTTTCTACGAAAGGAAAGAAATGAAAAACAAGTTTCATGTTGAATACTAAGCTGAATCGTGACAAAATAAAATTACAACTATAGTGCACAGCTGATCTCTATTTATCTAGCAATTTGTATAGGCACAGTGCATAGTTGTCACTTAAGTTGTATGTTATGTTCTGAATTAATTATTCTTGCTATTTTTGATATGTACTTATTTTAGCATTTTACTTTTAACACACACATTTTTAACTTTCTCTGTAACTACTAATATTGGTTTAAAACCAAATACAACATGAAAAGCATCAATGTACTAACCAATGTTGGTATCAATGTGCTAACTATGTATCAAATATAGAAGGTAATGTTAATCAATTCTAATCTGATCTGCTTTCCCCCTCTGCGAGTTTATTTCAATACTAATGTTTTGCACCCATTTCATAACATTTGTATGAAGTGTGGTATGGTGGGAATAGACATTAAACATAGTTCTTAACGTCTTTTTTAAAATAACAAACCTAACAAAAAAAAACCACGCATCTATTTGATTTGCAAGGGAAAGTTATGCTATTTTTTCACATTCCACAGAAGACAAATAACTTAAAATGTGTAAATAGGAGAGGAATTCTAAAACTGAAATGTTTTACATATCTATTACATCAGTTCTATATCGCTTTATTTCAAGCAGCTTAAAATTAGATGTTTTGTTTTCTGAACAAAAATGCACTTTAGAAAAACTTCAGATTTAAGAATAAAAGGTATTTTAACTTCAGTCAAGTAAATTTGGTGATCCTTCTAGCCGGCACATTCAAATGTTCATACCTTAATAAGGAACACATTATTCATCCATATAGTTCAGTTTTAGCTATATTGACTAAAAGCAACTATATATAATTTTAACGCTTTTTCTAGCAATTATAAGATTGAATCTGCAAGTAAAGCTGGGGTCTGTTATCCAAGGGTTTCTGCATCCTAGTTATCTGGGTAGCGCAATAATAATTAATCTTAATAACTGCCCAGTGTTAGAGCCCCTAAAATAACGAATGTCTTGCTGAGTTAATATTTTCATTTAAAATTTTCTTCTACCAGCATTTTTAAAAATTGAATTTCCCAACAGCATACAACTGTGCCAGTTGCGCCTCTTCCGCCGAGCCCTGAAAACTCATCTGTTCCATGCGGCCGGCCTGGCGTAGTTTTGATTGGGTTTTGTTAGGGGTTTTATATTTTAGAGCAGGCTTTTATGTAATATTTACTGTGGTTTTTTATTATTGCCTGTTCACCGCCCTGAGTCCCGTAAGGGAGATAGGGCGGTATATAAATTTAAATAATAAATTTAAATAATAAATAAATAAATAAATTGGGAGCCCTGCAGAAACAGGGCATTGCAGCATCATAAGATATTCCTGCTTCCTAACCTTCAAAAACGGAAGAATCAAAGTTAAAGAATTTAATGAAACAGCCTTAAGGAAAGTTAGAAAGTGCCTGAGCATTGTTTTGTATGACTTACGGCAAGATTTTCTCTTAGGTGAACAATTAAAAGAAGCAAAGTTCTAATGTACGCACCTTCATGGGTTGTGCAGATGTTGGGATAATCGGGGTGTGTGTCTGAGAGGGCTGAGGAGCTGAGGCTGAAGGTGGGAGGGGAGGAGGCAGTGCTGCAGGAGGCTGGGGTGGCACCACTGTCATTACTGGTGTCTGAACAATTAGGTCAGGGGTCAGAGAGGGAAAGGAATGAGTTGTTTGCACTGGCTGAGAATTTTGGGGTGGAGCCTGCGTCTGTGGTGGGGATGATGCTTGAGTTGCATTCTGTACCACTGATGCTCCTGCCTTGGATGTCACTGTAAGAGAGTCAATCACAGTATGTATATCAAGTCTCTAAAAATACAAATGGACATTTTGCTTTTTCAATTTCAGATTTTTTTACTCTGACAAATCATATTTGTATCTGAATTCCAATACCATTTCTCAATGACTATATAAGATTACTGACAGACTCAAACCTCATTCTATTAACTAGTAAAGATAAACCATCCATATGAAAATACATATTTTCCTTCTTTCCTTTCTCCATTGTATTTTTGTAATTATACCCATTTCCCATCTTTCAAACTAAACAGTCAGGGTAAAGCTTTAGTTTCTGGAAATACACACTGTTCACCTAGATTTAATAATGAGAGAGCTTGCAAGCTGCACTAACCTATAGATTACTTGAACATGGCTAATACAATATAAAACATAATTAGCTGGATTCACAAAACATGCAGAGCAGTAAACTATAGTTTATGCTCACTAATGCTTGGATTCACATTACACATTAAGTCAAAACCAAACAAATTGTATTACAGCTGAGCACAATGTACAAACTAATTTTTATCTGAAAGAAGATTTTTCAAATACAATCACAAACATACATACACATAATAGCATTTGCTATTCAAACAAAGTACAAAAACTGAGAGTACAGAATAAAGCAGATGAAATATCAATACCTGTTTCCTTCCTACCACGTCCTCTCCCTTTTGTTTGGACTATAACAACTTCTGTTTCTTCCTGGGCCATTTCAGAGATTTTTTGTAGGAAGAGTTTTTCTAGAGCTTCTGCCATCAAAACAATATCATCCCCTTGCTGAACAAATAAAAATATATAAAATAAAATAAAATCACACATATTTGGAGTCATCAACCTGAAGAAGACCTGCCATATTTTTGCCACCATATGACACTGTAGAACTATAACATGAAATATGGAGGTTACTTTGTCTAGTTGTTATCAATGTAGTCTGCATTTGATCTTTGTAAGTAAGTCAGAGATCACAGTGTGATGCATTTATTGCTTAATTCATGTGTCCCTCTGCATGAAGTGACTGTAAAGTTTTACTATGTTGCTCTTTTATGTATTGTAGTTTAAGCTGTATATTGTATTTGGATTTCTTCACTTATATGTTCTTTTGTCATTAACCGCATAATCATTTTAGCTATCAACTATAGAGGAGGACCATTCAACATACAGCTCTATACATTTACTCTATCTCATAGTTACATTACTAAAAGAGATATATTTCTGTGTGACAGAGTGAGAGACAGATAACTTGCCCAGCTAATTTACTAAGGCTTTTTGTGTTGTTGTCAAATGTAACAGTGTTCAGGATAGAAATTTAAAAGCTACAGACCTCAAAGCACCTTTTCTCCTTATAAACGTATCTCTAAATATGAAAAATTGTGGTTGATACATTCATGAACAGAAAAAAAATAGATCTGAGGCTTTTTTTAAAAACTAGCAACTCAACAAATTCCTTGTTTCTTGGTAATATGTCGCTCTTTCTTTGTATTAATTTTTGCAAGGAGAAAAGTATGGTCTTCTGGATGATCATCCCCACTCACAAGGAAAACTAATGCCCCTGACTGGTAGCTTTCTTGCTGTTGTAATACTCGGGAACACAGCATTTTAATTATAACAAAATAACGATTCAGGAATCCTGAAAAGTTTCAAACCATTTTCATTCTACTATAAGACTGTAAAATATGCATTCCTAATTGGCTTTTTCAGGAAAATGGTGTGAAATCAAAATTTGGAAGCATTATTTTCTATTTTTCATCAGTATGGCATATTAATGTTATACGCCTGAAAGGTAGTCCTTATGTATTAAGGAAAACTATTGTTTTAAAAATACTTACAATAATAAACTACACATGTAAAGTACCATGGCCAGTGAAACTCTTAAGCAAAGTAGTATTGATAAGAGATGAATTCTTAGGTTTTGTCTAAATAAAGTTTGAATTTTAAAATAAATTATACTGTATTTATGTAAACTGGGAAGTATGTAATCTGTCACCGTGGGTTTACATAAAAACCTTTTGCTGCATTCATGCACCTGTCACCAATTTCAGACCTCCTCTGGAGGAGACTGTATTAAATATCAGGCAAGAAAATTTGTTTCCTTCCTGTAGCCTGCTCTCAACAGAGAAGGTACATTCAAGGTTGTTAGACAGAAAAACACAACTTTTCTCACTTCAGTCCAACAGGTTATCCCTGAGATACTACGGCCTTTTGAGAGAGAGAAAACAATATTCACAGCTGAGATAAATACACAGTTTTACCAAGGAAGGAAAGAAGGAAAAGAGTAACCAGTATACCCAGATTTAAGTCCATTCTTAACCACAAAGCTCACTACAAAATTCAATTATTTATCTATGTGATAATGGGTCAGTCACACACTGTTAGCCCAATATAGTTCACATGATTGCTGCTGGAGAAAATGGGGGGAGAAAGAGAAGCTACATACACCATCTTCAGCTCCTTTAATTTAATAAATCTAAATAAATTTATTTTAATAAATGTATTTAAATTTATTTAAATTTAATAAATACGTACACACTAAAAACTGAAATCTGAAGTTGGAAATACATAGGTGATAGTCATTTGAAATCCATTTTATGAGAAAACTAACCTTATTATAGATGTAACAATTTGTAAACATTGTATTAAAGTCCTGGATACATTCTTGAGCGTTCCAATAGTAGTTATTCTCCAAGCGTTTCTTTATTGTTCCCATGTCCATAGGAGTTTTAATAATTTTATAATAATCCTAAGGGAAAATAAATATGGCAAATAAAAATTCCTTCAAGTTGCAATATATTTTCAAAAAATAAGTGTTAAAACAATATTTTTCATCTGTGATGAGTTGTTGATGCAAATTACTTCATGACTGAGAAGCAAGCACAGATCATCCTCAATTTACAATTATATTTTGAGACCAAAATCTCTGGTCATTGAGTGAAGCAGTTATTAAGCAAGAACCATGTGACTGCTTCACTCAATAACTGCAATCTCGGCACTCCAAGTTATAGTTGTTATGTGATCTCCTGTGTTGTTAAACTGACAAAGCAAAAGAGTTGCATGCTAGAGGGACACAGAAATCCTCAAGCAGGCAGCCCTTTCACTCTCAAAGAGGTTGGCTGAAAAAGGTCCATCTCAATATTCAAGCAGGATTTTGGTACAGACTGTTTGTAGCATGGGATATTTGCAACCAGTTCCCAAAGACAAGAGAGAGTTCTCTCCTTTATGGATGTAGCATGCCATATAAACAAAACAAATGCGTTAATTAATGAAAGTCTATGGCAGTGGTTCTCAACCTGTGGGTCGGGACCCCATTTGGGTTCGATCGACCATTTCATGGGGATCGCCAAGCAAGGCTGTCCACCATTTTTTTTGTCCGCCATTTTTTTGTATGCCATTTTTTCCCCCTTTTCCGGCGGGTGCCTTACCTCCCTTGGGCTGGGCCAGCTGGTGGTCGGCCTGCTCCATCTCTGCCGCTTGCCAGCTACGCCTCGGCCGGCGCAGGGGGCGGAACCACGCATGCGTGGCGCTCCCGGGCAGGGAAAGTCCTCGACTTACGACCGGTTGGGTAGTCCTTGACTTACGACCGGTTTAGTCCTCGACTTACGACCAGTTTAGTCCTCGACTTACGACCGGTTGGGGTCGCGGCATTAAAAAGGTTGAGAACCACTGGTCTATGGGGTAAGTTACATTGATCCAGCCACTCTTTGCATTTAACTGGGTGAAGGAAGGATTTCGTGCATTGTGCAAACTCATTCAATCATCCTGACAAGTACTGTAATTCAGGGGGAGTCAATTTTAGTTTAAACATTTTTTTTAGCACTGTTTGAAGCTAAACACATACAGTCAACTACATCATATAATCAATCAGTATCAATATAAACCAATCCTTTTGGCAGGTGGCAGCGGCTTGTGACCTTCTCTGCTGGCTTTTCCTTGGGAAGCTGGAGAGATGATCGCAAATGGAGATCACATTTGTGGGGTGCTTGGCAACTCATTGTAAGTCTGAATAGGTTGCCAAGGGTTCAGATCACAATTAGGTTATCTTGGGGGCCCTGCAATGGCTGTAAGTTTGGGCACAGGTCTAAATCCCTTCATTCAGTACCACTGTAATTTTGAACAATCACTGAACAAATGGTTGTTAAGCAAGAACTGCCTATATTTTGTTCATCAGATAGTCCTACTTCGACAAAGTATGGAATCTATACCTAAAAAAACACTGCACTGACTAGACTTGGAGTGGCCAAAATTTCTTTTCAGCTCTTCTCCTAAACCAATATGCTGATTATTATCAAGCCTATTGGCAGGTTATTGCAACAATAGGCCACTATTTCTTTTTACTACTTTACTATTCTTTTTTATTTTGAGTTCACTTAATGCAACTTTACCATAATCAAATTATAGACAAGTTCTGTAACTTTTAGATTAGAATACTTCTTCAAACAAAACGAAGAAATAAATGGTATCTGTACCATAAGATTTAGTCCATGCAAATACAAAATGAAGACCAATAAGCTTTAGGGTGTGTGTATGTATGTATGTGTGTGTGTGTGTGTGTGTGTGTGTGTGTATGTATGTGTATATGTATGTATATACATAATTTTAATTCATTAATTTAAGAAAGATGAAGAAGCAAAGAAAAGTAGAGAAAGTATCTTTTCCAAAACCTCATAAGCACATAAACAGTTCCTTTTCCAAGTAAAGAATAGGTAGTCCTTGTTTAATGATTGCCTGGGCAGCAGTTACTATGATGATGAAAAAGTAACTTTGCAACCAAAGTCCTAATTTATGATCTTTTTACAATCTCTTTCTGTCACATGTCCACCATTAAAGTCAATTAATGCATGTTGGCTTGAATATAAGATCATAAGCAGAGTTTTTCACTTAGCAAATGCTTCACTTAACAACCCATGTTCCTGGCCCTAATTGCAGTTGCTAAACAAGGAATATCTGTATACCCATTAAAAAACTGTTCATTTGTCTAGAATTGAACAGTGACTAAATCAAATTAAGTTCCATTTTCCCCTCTGGAGTAATCTTCAGTGGGAACACAACTTGAACAGGACAGGAAAAAGAAAAGTCATGTCCTGTCAAGTCATAATTAAAACCAATTTCTACTTGGAGAATACAAATCAAATATGGCTGTTACTATGACTTGCTATACATACACTTTTACATTTTTCTGTAAGACAATATTTGCTTATAATAAATATTTATTTAATACTGTTCATTCAGAGTGTAGAATGATACAACTTCTACTCAAGAAATTATGTTTCTAAATCAGACAGACAAGGCCAAAGAACTGGGGAATTGCATATAAATAGGTATGTCTAAAAGCACGGTTTTTCCAACTCTGTGAAATCCAATCTATTGAGTATGTGTATAACACTTTTTCATTTACTTTCTGTCCCTATTATGGCAACTAATATAATCTATCTATATTACTATCCTTATTTTACTATGATCCTCTTTTGCTTCATTCATATTTTTAAAACGAAGCCCACAGCATGTTTTTGACAGTTTTCAATTTCTCAGGAACTCTGAAGAAAATGTAGCACATATATTGCTTTTTCTTCCTGATAAAACAGCATAGTTTGTGGTTGTTCTATCTTCCAAAACAAACCCATTCTTTATTTGCTGTCCACACGTTTTAAAAAATTCACTTACATTTCAATTTCTTTTCCCCTCATTAGGTATACTTACAGGGAGGTTTAGCTTGACAGCATCCACAGGATGCTGGAAAGGCCATGAAAACTGATGTTTCCATAGTGTCCTGAGCACCACTTTGAGTAGGTACTGTAGTTGGTTGGTCATGCGCTTGGGTTTACTAGGATTTGAGGTCTCAGGTGGACATGGATTAATGGCTCCAGCATTGCCTTGTTGGGGTTGGGTCTGTGCCTGTGTTGTAGCCATTTGTGTAGCTTCTAGTCCATCCCCCATTACTGGCAAATTTCTCAGTCTTGTCCCAGGGCCACTCTCTGCAGACATGCTATCGATCCCATTGCATTCTGTACCAGTCACTCTGCAAAGCAAATTAATTAATTAATTAATACATTTTAAAACAATGAACAATATAAAAAGCACACAAAATAAACAATGATAGCTGAGAAAACAAGTGTAGATAGGAATAAAGAAAATGTGGCTTCTATAACCCCTTTGCCAAAGGCCTGGGGAAAAAAGGGAAAACTGATGTGTGGTTGAGAGTTGTCAGAAACACTGGCTCTAATACTAAGCAATAATGTGGCTGAGTGCAATTTTGAACCAAGGTGAAGTCAGTCAACAAGGATGTTAAGTATACCTATCACTTTGTAATTCTTTTTATCAGGGTGGAGTCGGGGTGACTGAAAGGAGCTGAGCATTTATTGGCCGGATGACCTTCTTGACACCCAGGCAGAGTTTGCAGCCATTGTTTATTCTTTGTGCCCTGATAGAAAAACATCCGTCTGCTGCCTAGGATTGAACTCTTAGCCTTCTGAGTGTGAGGTGAGCATCTTCACCTCTAGGCCACCACGCCATTCATCCTAAATTCCACATATATCTAAAGGCATTTTTAGAAAACAAAAACTATAGTGATCTGCAGTCCAGTACTCTGAAAATGTATGCAATGTCATGCTAAAAATTATCTAAGTGGGCATAGGAGATTGATGTGTAGCAAGCTCAGGTGTTTGGTCATGTTTCCCAAGATACGGCAGCCATTATAAGAATATCCATAACATGTCTTTGCATTAATGCTTTACATCCAGTCAGTGCTAATAATTTTTTTTAAAAATGATGATTTGGTTAAGCATGTTTTCCTTTCCATGCTCATTCTCCTGCTCTTTTCCTCTTTACTATCATTATCTTGATTTTAAACATGTGGGCAGAGACTAGGACCCTTTTTGACTGAACACAGAGGTTAAAATGTAGTTTAAAAAAGACGAGACTTTATTGACAATAAAAATATAAATAGACAAATATTTATTTGTATGTGTGTGTTTGTGTGTGAAGGATCAAAAGTGATTTGTAGCTGAATAGCTGTCAGTACATATTTTACTGTATGCTTTTATAAAGCATTTTGTTGAGGGGCATATTGTTTATTTTGAGCAATTTAAAGAATAAAGTGGTGTCATTTCAGTTGGTATGAAGATTTAATATTGTTTCATTTGCTATTTGGATGGGCTGTTGTTTGTTGAAACATACTTCACTTCCTTATATATTGTTTCCTTTTGAATGTTTCCTGTAAGCTTCCCAAACCTGGGTTAATTATCCAAACTCTGCATAAAATAGTTCTTTCAATAATTACACATAACTCCATTACCCAATCATATTTAAATTGAATTAATGTGTTTTACATATATTGAGTAAAAAGGAATTTCTAATAATCAGTTCTGGATAACTAGGAAAAAGTTTGGGAAGCACTCGCTTATTGCTTTGTAATTTTATGCTAAAATAAAAAATGAAATTCTGCATTGGAATATGTACCACATACACCACCACAGAAATCTTCACAACAACTTTGTAATGTAAAAGTCAGTAAATATTATCATCTTCATGTTGCGGGTTAGTGTATTGTAGAAAAATACTCTCAAATATCAAATATATTTCAGTGTTTGCATTAAAATCAAAGATTCACTGGGAATGCCATTACTTGCTGCTCAAACAGAAAATTTCATTGTAATTTCAAGACCATCATTCTAATTGGTGAGATTGTTGGAAGAGGTTGTTATAAATAGCCAGCTAAAAGAACAAATAGCCTGCTGAAGTCAGCTGGCTACCGGCCATTGCATTGCAGATAAAACAAATAAAACCAAGAAGCCTGGCTTTGTCCAGTTCTTCACCTTTTTCAAACTTAAGTTTGTACTGGGTTATGTTCACTTAGTTATGCATATTTTTTCTAATATGCTTACTCTGTTTTACTTTTTCTTGCATAAACATTTCTGCAAGCAATATTTCACAACATTGATGTTACCAAGTAGGGTAATGCAACACCTGCAAGAAAACAACCAAGCTCGGAGAGCACCACGGACCCCACAGTTGAACTCTGAGCTACAAATATTTTGTTCTATTGGTACAAATTGAATTGAATCAAGGATACCAAAAGAATTTGCTTACTGTCTGGCCATACCCTTATTATCTTTGAGAAATTCTGGAGAACATGTAAGGCAAATCCTCAATATAGGGCCTGATTCCCCTCCCCCCACGCTACAAACCTATCAGTGTGTTAAAACAGAAAATTCTAAACAAAAGTCATAGAGCTATTGACTTTGACATCTTGCAAATAATGTTAAGATACCAGAAGTCAGCACTGATTTTTCAAGAAAAAGTCTTATCACTTTATAGATTGTACAAAGAAAATGCTGCAGACAAAACATATCTTGATTTCAAATAAACTTAAACTATCTATGGCAGTGGTTCTCAACCTTTTTAATGCCGCGACCCCAACCGGTCGTAAGTCGAGGACTAAACCGGTCGTAGGTCGAGGACTAAATCGGTCGTAAGTCGAGGACTAAACCAGTCGTAAGTCGAGGACTACCCAACCAGTCATAAGTCGAGGACTTTCCCTGCCCGGGAGCGCCGTGCATGCGTGGTTCCGCCCCCTGCGCTGGCAGAGGCGTAGCTGGCAAGCGGCAGAGATGGAGCAGGGCGACCACCAGCTGGCCCAGCCCAAGGGAGGTAAGGCACCCGCCGGAAAAGGGGGAAAAAATGGGCAGACAAAAAAAATGGCGGACAAAAAAAATGGCGGACAGCCTTGCTTGGCGACCCCCATGAAATGGTTGATCGACCCCAAATGGGGTCCCGACCCACAGGTTGAGAACCACTGATCTATGGTAACATAATGGATATACATTTGTCTTGAAATTCATACTCAAGAACGAGATGAAAGTATTGAGTGTAATATTGCAAAATCTAGTTCTAGATCACTTTAATATTTAACATTTTGACTTATGATTTGAATGTGTGAAAAGGGATGTTTAGTGAATTTGCACATATCATAAAATTAAATGTGATAACTAATATCCCAGAAGAGATATTCAAAATCTTGATAAAGCCAAGAATGAGCTGAAAGTAAGAGAATAAATTGGAATATAGCGAAACACACAATTATGTACAATCAGTATTCAATCCACTGTTTATGAATGGAAGATTTTTATTTATTTTTATTCCACCAAAATCAGAAGATGGAAAAGTTCTACATTAGTCCAAAAGACTAAAGGAAAGAAAGACTGTTTAGTTGAATGTCAGTAGTAGTACAGGTAGCCCCTCAACTTAGAACCAAGATTGGAACTAGAATTTTCATTGCTAAGAAAAGGCGGTTGTTAAGTGAGTCATTTTACAATCTTCCTTGTCACAGTTGCTAAGCGAATCACTGCAGTTGTTAAGTGAATCACACAGTCATTAAGCAATTCCAGCTTCTCTCATTGATTTTGTTTTTTGGAAGCTGGATGGGAAGGTGGCAAATGGTGATTGCATGACCCCGAGACGCCGCAATCATCGTAAATACATGCTGGTTGCCAAGCACCTGATCTAATGGTGACCTAAGTCTTTGTACAGTATACTGCATGTATCTCATATAGCAGTGATGGCAAACCTTTTAGAGACCGAGTGCCCCAAAACCGCCCCCCCACCCTGCCCTCTCCGCCCCTGCCCCCGTTCCATCCCCCATCCGGCCCCCACTACGCCCTTGCCCCACCCACCCGCAGGACCACCCACCACCTCCACAGCCCGCCTTAGCAGATCGCCCAGGTGGCCCAGCAGCGTCATGGCAGCATCCCCTCCGCCTGCGCCCCGCAGCATCATCTACGTGCGACAGGGCGTAAGGGTGGAGTCTTGTCCCTGCTGCCATGTGCTTGGCTGTGCTGCTCCATGTGGGCTGTGCCCAGGGGCAGGTCTCCTCCGAGGGGGGCTGCTGGTGAGGAAGGGGCCATGGGGTAGGCAGGGCTGGGGCAATGGCGTGCATGCCCACAGAGTGGGCTCTGAGTGCTGCCTCTGGCACACGTGCCATAGGTTCGCCACCACTGTCATATAGCATGTATGATATATATGCTAAAATATAGAAATTGTTGCAATTTAAAATTGAAATAAAACCACAATCTTTCTATTGGGAAAATTTCAGAAAAAAATAAAAACATAATTTAATGAGATACATGCTCAAGGGAGCGAGAACAAATTTTATTCAACATTGCAAGAAAGACAAGTTCAGTAATACTTGAGTGAGAATTTATGCTTAGACAATATGCAGTAATGGCAAAACTTTCAGTGTATGTATAGATAACAGAAGTTGAATTAAATCCAAACAAGAATGCTTCCCACATATGCAACACATCACAGAGCATGCCAAATATAGTCACTTACAATCTGGCTTCTGGGGGATTGAAATGTCTATAAATATTGCAAAATCAGAAGATGTCAGAAACATCTGAGGAAAGTTAGAAATCAAATAATTCTTTTTATTGTTGTTTTCCTTTACTTTTTGGTTAATTAATTTGTTTGATCTATTCATTTTCCCTTTATTAATAGGGATAGTATTAAATATACACACACTCACACAAAGTAACAATTCAAAGGAGACTTTAATAAGTAACTGTATTGAGATTATATGTTACTATATATAACAATTATTTTGATAAGAGGTGTAGTGGTTTTTTTTAAATGTTATACTCAACTTTTGATGAGAAAACTAAACAATTCAATGCTTGTAATATTGCCATCCTAAATTACAATTAACATTGATAGAATATTTTATTTTTCTTTCTATTTTCAATATTCTAAGCTACTTAATAGATGTTAATTAATTTTAAATATATTACACAAACATACTTTTCAGGACATTGCTTTTAGGGATACATTACTGGTACTGCTAGTATTTATTGATTTTTATTCATTAGCCATGTTATTCATTATGTTGTTATGAGTCCTATTGGTCATGTTTTAAAAGCTGGTGGAAAAATTCTGAAAAGCTAAAATCATGAACTTAAATTTGATAGCACTAAAAGCAATTTTTTCTCTTTCCTATGGTTTAGTCTTGCATCCAAACCCACCCCC